GCTTTTGATTGAAGCGTTTAATTTATGAACATTTAATGGCATAAGGAGGGAGAATTTCCACGCTGTCCAGAGGGGACAGGTATTTTGAGATCTCAGAGTTAAATTCTTAATTGTCCCTCCCACCAACACCAGCTTCTGATCCACCCCGGGGCTCCGTCTTAGGAATCATTGTCTGGCTTCCCAGCTTGGGGATACGTTTGACCTCCTGAAAGGGGGGTCTGCTTGTGAACAGTTGGTGCAATAGGCTGCTTCTCTGAGCTAGTTCAAGTTTTTGCTTTTCTTCTCTTTTGATTCTTTAGAAAATATTGCTGCCATATAATTCCAGTTTTTCCACATACTTAACAATTTTATTTTGTTGTCGTGTTTTTATCTTCTGGGCTGCAAATGAGTAGATTGTGAGATAAGGTGAGGGAACGGCTTGACCACGTCGCCAACAGCCTCATCCCAAATTCCTGATCCCTGGAGGACATCAGGCCCTCCCTCCTGCTGCAGGGTGGCCTGTGTGCCCTGGGATCCCCTCCTGCTCCGAGGTCCGGGAATGGCCCCACTGGACAGGCAGCCTCGAATTCCCTGCACACACTTGTGAGTCCCTGTCCAGGAGAAAAAAGCAGGAAGAATCCACTGAGTACAATCAGGAAATTCTAAAATGCAAACGTCACTTCGGGAGGGGTCAGGTCACTGCGTTGGGAGGAAGCCCGCCTTGCCAAGGGCAGTGTCTGGAACCTGTTCATCCGGCTCCACTCAGCACTGCGAGATCGCTTCTTCTGTCAATCAGTCACCAAGGGGCGGGATCTGGAGCACTATCCAATCAGGGCCGAGGGGGCAGGGGGTGTGAGAACTGTCAATCAGGCACGCTGCAGGGAGGAGGGTGCGACGTTCAAAGAGCCCGCGGAGTCTTCTCCACGCCCCTGCGCTCTGAGTCCTGGGTCTGTCGCTGAGAGAGAGACGCCCTGGAAGGTCTGTATCAGCGTCTGTCTCGCCGGGACCCACACTGGACGCTGGCTTATAGGGAGGACACCCGGACACCAAGAAGCCGGGAAATGGTGAGTGTGCA